CTCAGACATCACACCCTAAAAATCCATGGGATGGATATTATGCAAAAAGAAATTTTAAAGTACAATCATCCCAACAATGGGGTGATTATTACGAAGGATTATGCAAAATCAGAGACAGTCAAGCAAAAAATTGGGAGCAATGGGAAACTGAAATAAATGATATGTTTCCTGTAAATTTACATCAAAATTGTGCACGTCCCTTAAGATGGTATCCTCATGAACATTCCACTCTTAAACGCTTGAGAGAAGCCATCAGGGAAGACGGCCTTCAAGGCCCATATGCACAACAGTTATTTGAAACAATTAGCATGGAAATGAACTGTCCCACAGACTGGAAACAACTGGCTAGAGCTGTCCTTACTGGTGGACAATACTTAGACTGGCTGGCTATGTTTAAAGATGAGTGTGAACAGCAAGCTGACCGAAATCGCAGAAATGATGTAATATTAAGCTATGACTGCCTAGCAGGCGAAGGCATGTATGCCTCTCCTGCTGTACAGGCACAAAGCCCACCACAATATTTTGACCAAGTGAGAGTAATAGCCTTAAAAACTTTTAACCGTTGCCATGCTGGACCAACTATCCCAATTAACAAGCTTATTCAAGGAGCCAATGAGGATTTTGCCTCTTTTGTCTCCAAGGTTGTAGATTCTTGTAAGAGAAAGGTTGATCATCCAGAGGCCACTGAAGCCCTGGCCAAACAGCTTATCTTTGAGGGGGCTACCCCCACGTGTAGAACTTTAATAGCTCCTATAAAAAATGAAGATCTAGATCACTGGATACTAGCGTGCAGGGGAGTCAATGCACAAGGAGCTCAAGCATTAGTGACAGCGCTTGCCAGTGCTTTAAATTAAATCATACCTGACCTTTATGCTTTAATTGTAAAACACTAAAGCATTTTGCTGTCATGCCCAAAAAAGGAAACAAACTAGCTGACAGCCTAGTCTCTATTCAAGCTATACAAACAGCTCTGTCTGACCCACTTTTATAATCAAAAACACTTCATTCTAGGTTTCACCTATTGGCCAAACCATTCATCAGCTTCTCCCAGAGGTCCCTAAAGCTACATGTAAACATCTGGTCTGTAGTTGCTCTATGTGTGCCCCCTTCCTTCCACTTGGCCCTCTCCAACCTCAGGGAGTAAATCCCCAAGGACTCTGTCCCAATGCCAGATGGCAAATGGATGTCACCCATTTTCCCCCATTCGGTAAATTAAAATACATTCATGTAACCAAAGATACTTTCTCTGGAGCTACCATGGCTATAGCCATGAAGGGAGAAATGGCACAACATGCCTCATGCACTCTAGAAAAGGCCATTCTCATGCTAGGGGTCCCTTGGGACCTAAAAACAGATAATGGTCTATGGTATACCAGCCAAACTTTTAAAAACACATGTGCCAAATACAACATAACCTTACATCATGGCATTCCCTACAATCCTCAAGGACAAGCTATCATAGAAAGAACTCACCAA